CAGTTGTTATCTGAGTTTCGTTTAGACAGTGAGTCGATTTGGCATGCAAATGTTGAAAAAAATTCCGAGAATAGATCTGAAACTATATCGCATAAACATTGCTATTAACATATGTTGTGATAAGAGCAACCTTTCGAGACTAGTTGTTCACTATCATTAATCCCGGAATAGAAAACACACATTCGCATATAAAATTGACACCCGAGCAATCACCTGAGGCTTTCGGATCTGTCATAGTTGCTCTGATGTGATCAGCGAGATCATCTGGAGTCTGGAGGAAGAAGGTCAGCAGAGTGTCCCGAGTCTGATAACAAGTCATAGACACTCTCGATCGGTGTGATGGTGCATAGGTAAAATTTGTGGAAAATTTGAGAAATTCCCATTGGATTCTCTACCAAAATTTCTGTAATAAAATTGCAGAGTCAGCAGAGGAAAGCGAACATATATTCCTCCAACACTGCTTGTGATAAATATACCGCAAATTGCCACATTTTCTTACGTGCTCAATAGCAACCTTCGAGCGGTTACTCATCGTCGGATTGGTGACCAGGCTGAAAGTTCGGTGTCGATTCGACAAGAGTTGAGATATATAAGGCGTACTTTAGTTCTGCCAGAAATCTGTTGCAAAGTTCATCTGAGTATTCCAAGGGCACCTACAAGTAGTACAATGGGAAAATGCAAGACGTTTACAGTCAATTTGATATGATGCAAATGTGTGTTATTTTCCGAGATCAATAAGAATCGATCTGAAACTATATCGCATAAACAATGTAAACATTGCTATGAACATGTGATGTGATAAAAGTAACCTTTCGAGACTATGATAGCGACAAGTTGTTCACTATCATTAATCCCGGCATACAAAACGCACATATCAACTTGGCACTCAGCACTGTAGAGTAACTCACATGGAAGCTTTCGCGTACATCATGAACATCAACTTTCTCTCCTCCAAGGAGTCTTCGACACACCTCAGTCTCATCCATACATAATGATGACACTTCCTATGATCTCAACAAATGCAGAAAGAAAGCGTCAACAGTTTTCCAAGCCCACCGAGGACTCCACCGAATCTGCGCTGTAGACTTCAATCTCTTCAAATTCGAGCCTGAACGGTTGAGTTCCGAGGAATTATGATGCATTTGAGCACTTCCTGTGGAGTACATATCACATAGAGTTTCACAACCTACTTTACGTTAAGTGAGGTGAAAAACGCGATAAACGCGGTGATATGCAGTAGTCGTGAAATATATTTTTCACCAGTGTTTTTCATATCACTAGGGTGGAACTCCAAACATATGAAACATGTTGATTTTTTTATGGGTCTCGAATACTTTTGATTTCCGGAGTTACGCATGCGCGATGGACGAGACAGAATTAAATCGACATGCAAGAAGCTCTTTCGAAGAGTCAGAAGTCGGTATCCAATTTACCCTGATTCATCTTCATCAGTCGCTCGAGTCGGTTCCGCTGATAAAGCAGATGATAGCAACATCAGCCAAGGAACTACTCACGTATGCCGAGACATGCTCTGGCTTCAACTTGCCATTCTGAATGGCGCCGGGCTCGCATCTCTTCATCGTTCATAATCCTCCAATGCGTTTCAGTAGAGTGTTGTTCCTAGAATGGTTTGTGTGATGTGAATCCATTCGAAACCGATTGTGAGTAAAAGGTTCGCCCTCCTCAGCATAGCTCAATATTTTCGTCACTAGTCATAGGATTTTATATACGAATTGGAAGAATATATACGATAACTGTACAGAAACTAACAAGGAATCCCCAAAATTTCCTCAGAATTTTCATATTGTCACCAACACATGTGGTTGACCGCGCGTAAATTTTACCACTCTGGGATATGTAATTGTAATATATAGTTTTTAATAATATCTTTATTAATAATGGTTGTTTTTAGGGCAAATTCGGGGGTTGCTCTTTGAGCGGAGTTCCTCTTGAGAGAGTACTACTTCAACTTAAAATGTATATCATCTAGTTAAGGGAAATATATAAATTTGAGTTTCAGTCTCAATTTCACGCTACGACTCGAACCATGGCGGCGATAGGTTCGAGCCTCTCCCCAGCGGTCGTGGTAAGGAGCCAGAGCCCTCAAAGTCCTAGGCAGTTGTATTTAATATCACTATGACATATAATGGAGTTTCACCCGTTTTACGTGAAGTGGCGTAAAACTCGGTGAAAAACGCGATATTCGCGGCCTGTAGTAGTCGTGAAATATGTTTTTCATATTACGGGTGAAACTCCAATATTGACGAAGATATCCACCGTTAAAACACCAATAATGAGGGGCTCACTTGTCCCTTGCTGAAGTCAAAGACGTTTGCCCAATCGTTATGCGTGATCGTGAGACCAGCTTTTGCCATCAGCTCACTAAAAGGCGTCGCGAGTTCCTACCACGTGAAAGCATCAATTATGCGTTTCATGATGTGTGAATCACCCTAGGGATATCAAGGGGACCGAATAGCATATCGTGGGAGCTCTCTATTATAGGGTGACCCGGTATTTGCAGAAGGAGTTCGCATTCGTGACCTGGCTAAGGGAGTACAGGAACCCATTCAGCTTTGAGAGATAACGTCCCTCAGGGTTTGATAACAATGAGGAGAATGATGTTCCTTATGTGATGACATTTACATGGGAAACTGATTGCAGAATGTTGGAAATTCAAAATGAGTTCCCCTCGGGAACATTATAGGTTTATGGATGATTCCCCGAGGCAGTAGCTGAGTGTCGATCGCGAGCACGTTTGTAAAATCTCGAATGGCAGAAAACTCACAATCTCTGGTTCGTAGTTGCTGACAAATTGCCATAAGGCGAATCCTAACACAGTCTCGCAAAAATATTGATCCTCCCACAGGCCCAACGAAAATCGAACCTGAAATCGGCTCGTTTAGTTTACAGTGCTAAACCGTGCAGCAGTGTTGAAGGAATATATGTTTGCTCTCCTCAGCTGAGCTTGAGAGTTTACTCACTAATTATACAAGTTTATATACGAATTCGGGTAGAATTATACAGAAATCAATGAGAATTTCCTCAGAATTTTCATATTATCACCAACATATGTGGTTGACCATGTACTGGATTCTATTCACCGAAATCACCAGTGGACTTACAATCTTTGCACTCATCAATGAAAACCTGTGAGATGTGGTCCACGAGGTAAATCACGCATGCCTCGCATCGATCGATACCTACTAGGCTCGTGCATGGTAAGGGAATACGCGAGCGAACATTACTGAAATCATATCCGCGAATTTCGCCGCGTTTTCGGATTAGTTTCTCGCCAGTTTTTTCGCTGAATATGAAGTCTCTGGGGTCCGGACGGCTACCTTGAGCGACCGACGGCATATTTTGCAATCCAACTTAAGACTCCACAAACGATCACTCGAAGAATTTTAGTCGTCTTTGTTGAGGAACGCGACATAGGGAGTTGGTAGGCCATGTTGAGAAGGGCGACACGTTGGCCAACGTGAATGAGAGCCGTTAAGTATATGGGTGAATCTATCAACTCTGTCTACTGCACACAATCATGCTGTCTCCATTTCAATGGTTCAAGGATACATCAGTATCACGACTACAGTACTATATGGAACATCGAAATGATAGATGAATTTTCACCCA